ACTGGGGCCACGATTATACACAATGTTTCGCTTTCTCCAGACCATCACTGATAATCGAGGCACCAGTTTATATTTATTTACTTTCACAGCAACGAGTGCGTGTTAACGATGACATTATATCAACAACCACTTGATAGTATTGCATAAACTAACTGCCTTTGGTCCCGTATGAGTCTAAACACGCGCACTGATTGGTTGAATTGAGAGAAAGAAGAAAAACAAAATGACGCGAAATTAGTAACGTGTTGGCCAACCGCAGCGCATCATTCCTAAAAAAGAAAACCAAACCCAATATAGAGAGATCGTTGTAGACTCTGAAACAACAAATGTAGTTTACGTAACATAGAACTTTATCACTGATTCTACATCTTCTGGTTTTAGTTTGTTTAAAAATCTAGCTTGACAAAATTTATTGTGATCATCTCTTGAAAGTAATTAGAAATGATAACGAAATATTTATTCCTGTAATATAATACAGTTTTAATATTTATGTTTCCTTCATTAGGCAACAGAGGGCAGTAGTATAGTGTGTTGAATCAAAGAGTCAGGAGTTCGGGATGTAACGCTAACACTTTCAGCTGTGGACGCTTCATAAAAGTGATATTAAATTTCGTTATTAGATGTTGAGTCAGATGTCGCCCTTATGGTAACAGGTACTGTTGACTGGCTGCCTTTCCTTTGGTTATTACTTCAAAATTAGGGACGTTTATACCTGGCCTGTCACGTTTAGTCGACACGTGCATAAGGTGCCGCTCTGGTTAAAATTTCTAATTTACCCATTTCAAACCACACGTAGTAGAACATTTATGCATAGTTACAGCATCCAACTGCCATAACCTCAGTCGAACGAACGCCATGTTCAACAACACTTGCAGTGTTTTCGTATTCCGTTTCTTCATTTTAATGGAGGGAAATAGTAAAAAGGTGTCTCTTGGACACCTGCAAAAATGACACAAAGTACCGAAAACAGTATCTTTTATCCGTTCCCAAAGCCGAAGACAAACATCAAAAAGTATCTGTTACGGATGAAGCTTCGCAGAAGATGACCACACCACTAGCAGAATCCAAAAAACTCAGTAAAGATGTATTACCTGCTCCAAAGTAGGCCAACTTCAAACAAAACGGGTATATGTGCTGAGACTTTAAAGCTCTTCAAATTACTTAAGAGTTTAGTTTACTTATATCATAAACTGTTGTTGGAATGTTATACACCTGAAAATCGCTGTTCTTCAATTCAAAGCAGGCCTCGACAAATCCCGGCCGCATGGTCGCCATGACGACTAAAAATTTCATCATGGCGCCTAGTATTTTCTCCCATTTTACTCGCGCGTAGGATTGTGCTAAATAGAACTCTAATCTAGAATAATTCTGGACTCTTGGAAGTCCGGAAGTATTCTGAGTTCTTAATCAAACTTTGTTTCCAGGATTTTAATGGCGAATTCAACACGTTTTGTTCTTTAGCTCACAACCGAAAATGTTTGGAGGTAGTTAACAATCGGCTAGCTTCAGAACAGAATTTGCAGGTCTTCAGAAAAACAAACTAATCGCTCATTGGTCAATAACTTGCACGATTGGGGATAGTTAACAACAGGCCAGCTTCATATCAGAAAAAAAAAATCCTCAGCAAATAAATGCTCGTTTGACATTAATCTGTACTGGAGGTAGTTAATAATAGTTAAGAACCAGCTAGCCTCATTGGTCAATAAGCTACAGCAACTAAACCAAGTGCACGGGACTACAAACTTATATAAACAAGGAACAACTAAAGAAGGACAATTAATAATAACGCGGGGAAGCACACTTCTTTCATTAATATAAAATAATTTTTTTTATTATAAAATTTCTGGTGTAGATTTTTTCCTGAAAATATATTGATAACTTGAGGCCGAAATTTGTTTAAGGTGTTACAAGTTTTGTATGCTGGTTGCAGCATTGTGATGTATTAAGTGGAACATATATAATAAATCTTATATAAATACTACTAATAGAAAATAAATTACATTCTTAATTTCAATCAGTTACAGATTTATGGTAGTGTTGTACAGCATCAAGGAATTTCTTACTTGCTTTAAGAGGCTAGTTTTTAAAAGATAATATAATAATGTTGTTATTATTATTGCAAACCCACAGTGGGTTGGTTAAGAAAGTGGTTTTTGTTGTTGTTTTTTTCATTATTATTGTCAGTTTTTTTATTATTATTTCATTAATTTGTAACATTCAAAAAACTTATTCTTCGCCAGCTCTGATGTTTATATATAAAAAGCTCTATTTAGTATGTTATCATGGTGTACACATTCATATCCATCACACAGCATCATCTTAAGTTTGATTTATTCAGTTCTGATGTAACTCTTCTTTTGCTGTGCTGGTCATTTGTTAAATATCGTGTCAACAGTTCTTTGGTTGGTCAAGATATAACCTTACTCTGAAGTTCATAGATTAACAGAAATAAAACCTCAGACGATGACATTAGGGCACTCAATGGCAAACAAACAAACAAATCATGGTCCCGCATGTATTAGTAGCAAATCATTTTATACACTAACAATAAATTACATGGTAGAGGTATAATAAATTCACGCTAATGGTTACGCGCGTTTAACGTTTGTAGTGTAAACTGGAGAGTTCAGTTTATTGTTAAAAGGATAAATAAAACACGACCTATTTAACATAATTATATTTTCTGGTGTAACATGTCGTGTTTTATTTCTCCAATTAACGTTAATTATTTTTAATGGTTCTTAACTTATTCTAATTAAGTAGCGTTACAACGTAGCGCATATAGTTAAAAGTAAATTCGAAAGAGGTCGTTTCCGCTTCCTTCACACCTGTCTGCTGTAGAGGTTATTGGAACGCCTGTCTCTTCCCCTTCTTGTGAGAGTGCGTATTCCAGAAGTTCCTGGTTGATGTTGGTTGTCACTAGAGGGCGGCACTGGTAGAGTATCGTATGGGGTGGCGTATGGGTGTAGTTCCTCCTCTATATAAAAAAAATTAACAATTGCATTCTTATTGTAAATTTGTGGCATATTTAGAGAACAATAATGAGTTGTTGCAATATTAAAATACATCTGCGAAGAAAATATCGACGTTTATATTCTATTTTTCACGATAAAAGTAAAAAATAATACTATAAGTTTTGAGTAAAAACCCATTCCTTATGGGTTGGTACAACGTAAAACATTAATGAACACAAACTGTTTGTTGAAGTTCAATAGCTGAAATTAATTTGTATTTTGAAAACGGAATGCTTAGTCTGTTCTTTCCTGAAAACGAACTAAATTTATGTATAATATAAAATGAGACTTTGGAAAACGCGGAAGTGAGCTCACATCTCTACCTGGCCGAGGACTGAACATTGACTGATTTGGAGGGCACTGACTAGTTGTTTGGTAATAGGCTGAAGAACGCTGGGTTCCCTCTTCACTTGATACGTAGTCTAAAGCTGGCGAGCTGCCAATTTCTTTCATTTGCACTGTATCTTGAGTGGACTTTCCATAAACTTGATTTTCTGATAAATCAAATACAATGTCAAATGATCATCTCTAGAATATTACTATTTGTAAACAATTGTATAATGTTACAGCCAAGAAAAATATAGAATTTATTTAGTTTAAAATATTAAGTTAAAAGAGTCTCGTATACGAATTTTTGTTTAAAAAAAATCGAAAACAGAAATAAGGTAGATAAAATTACTTCTGAAAAAAAAATTACATCTGAAATACGATAATTAGACCTGATGAACACAAAACATCAAGTTCATTGACAAATCAATTATTCAAACATTTGAAAACAAGGCAAAGTAAATAAAGAAATTTTCACTTTTTGAAAATGTAACAAAATATTTAAATATTCGTGACCGATTTTCAAAACGTAAGTAGTTTTAAATGTGTCTTGGAAAGGAATATTTCTTTCTCTTCTACACTTTCGTTTTAAAGGGATGTCGGCCTAATAAACGCAGACAATTACATTTATGTGCAGCTAAAATTAAATCTCTAGCTTTTTGGTTAGTATAACGACAGAAAAATCGCTTTAACACATTTATATTTCCATGTATTTTAGAACATTGTAAGATCATTATTTAAAACTGCTTTCATATATTTTGTTCTTTGTCATGTTCGTCTCATAACTGAGCAGGATGACAGACATTTTTTTATACAACGTTTAGCCTCTTCCCCAATTCAGTGGCAAGCTTGAGAACTAATAACGCCAAAGTTCAAGGTTTGATCCCTGTCGTGGAACGGTTCAGTTAGCCCATTGTGAAGCTTTACTCTTAAACTAAACAAATACAACGACTATTGTATCTTTTAAGATCTTGCAACATCTTACCATTTCTCCACCGTCGAGCTCGTGCTTCTCGTATACAAAGCACACAACCCACGACAATGACCACCACAACAACGAAACTAGAAACAGCAATAGGTATAAGTATTTCTAAGTCGACGATGAAAAAACTCGCCCGAGATTTTGGTACCTCGGCAGTTCCGTGAAATACTGTTTCTGAAACAAAATAAATAGAAATAAAGACAAGACATTAAGATGAGAGTAACAAACAAAATACTCTACTGGAGACACAGTTCGTCTGACGTTGACCTAATCTCTATGTTTGTATTGGTCAGAAGTTTTCATGAACTTACTTTTTTTTTAAATTTAAAGTCACACCAAACATGCTCGCCCTTTCAGCCGTGGGGGCGTTATAATGTGACGGTCAATCCCACTATTCGTTGGTAAAAGAGTAGCCCAAAAGTTGGCGGTGGGTGGTGATGACTAGCTGCCTTCCCTCTAGTCTTACACTGCTAAATTAGGGACGGCTAGCGCAGATAGCCCTCGTGTAGCTTTGCGCGAAATTCAAAAAGAGGGATTCGAACCCGCGACCCTCAGATTGCGAGTCGAGCGCCTTATTCACCTGGCCATGCCGGGCCGCGGGACCATGATGGGGGACGGAAATGGATTTCACAAAGTTATTATTTTGTGTACACCAAGTATAAATTTTAATGTCACGGAAGAGATATATTAAAAAAGCAACAAAAGTGTAAAACATTTATGCTGTCTTCCAGCATCGATTATTTCCTCAACTTATAGTGTAAAACATTTATGCTGTCTTCCAGCATCGATTGTTTCCTCAACTTATAGTGTAAAACATTTATGCTGTCTTCCAGCATCGATT